CAAAAATATCCACACCGATAGATCGGTCGTAAAAACTTGTAGTATGATAACCATGCTCACCCGATCTGACGCCCTTAGATTACTTTTTGTGGGGATACGTCAAAGATATTGTGTACTCCGAACCTCCAACAACTTGTGATAATATGATTGCACGAATAACTGCAACATATAAAAACATTTCATCTGAGGTAAGTACTGAGAAAAGCAGTGGATTATTTGACACACAGGATTCATTTGTATCGTCGAGTCCAAGGTCACAATTTTGGACATTTATTGTAAAGAATGGAAATACAAGGCATACATATGAATTTTCACTTTCAATATCATTTTAAGATTACTAGAGGCATTTTCAGAAAAAAGTTTGGAACAAAAGTTTCTTATTTTTTTATATGTAATCCGAATACGCAATAAAAAGTGCTATGTTCCATTTAAAAAAATGAAATTGATCTTAAAATGTCCTCAACTCCTTCACTCGTAAACTAATTGTTTCTATCATATAATGTCCCCCTTTGTTTTGAGCATATTGGCATAAACTATTTTTTCATACGTCTTCAAATTTTGCTAATAATTAAATCGGTCACCTTATATGAATCACCCTGTATAACCGTGTGTTATATAACAGTTATATTGTTGAGTAGGAAATTATAACATTGATGTTATATTAATATTAGTTAGTGTTTAATGGGAAGCAATCGCAATTAGAGAGATTAGAAGTGCGCGGGAAATGCGACCAGCAGCCCCGACGCACCGCTTTTCGTGTAGTGCGTAGGCGAGAGAATAGCGCAGCAAGGATAACTAGAGCACTGGTAATCAAACCCGCGTCTTTCACTTTCCTTTGCTCTTAACCATTAAGCTATCCAAGTTCCCTTTCTCGATACATCTCCCGCCCGTACACAAGTGTTTATATTAACAAAAATTTAGCCAATGAATACTTACTTTTACATTTTATTCCTTCGATAAAGGATAATGATATTTAATTATTGGAAATTAAGACCTATTAAGAATTATTTACATAAGAGAAATTGTTACACATGGGCATACATTTAAAAGGGACCTATTTAAAAAATATACAAATATTCTTAATATCTTGACAAAAGTAGCAAAAGTAAGTAAAAAATACTAATTTATAACATTTATCAGTGGTAAAAGTAGTGTGATTTTATAAACATGCGCCAAAAATTACAGACAATCTTTCTTTCTGTCTACGACCATACAAAATCATATAGATAGTACGTAGCGGTTAGACAACCGCTACGTACTATCTTTATGATCATGAAGTATTGCACCTGCGATTATGCCAACAAGTTATCCGGTAATTTATATATGCCCCTTGATATAATATTCTTCGAATTCCGGTCGTTATATCCTTATGGCAATATTAATGTGCTGTGAAGGTAATCAATAATACTCAGTATGATATTTCTGTAAAGGACGTTTATTCAAATAATTTTTTCGATTTTTATTTCGACCTTTTTTCCAAAAAACACTCTACAGTTTCTTCTCTCTACGGATGTTTTTCCTGATTATAAATTAAATATCATAGATGTAAAATGATATTCTTCATATTTTCTCTCTTTGATATGTCATCATTAACGTAGTTCATATATTATATAATTATTCACTTTTCATTACTTTGACCTTGGGTCCTACTCAACAATATAACTGTTATATAACACACGCGTTATACAGGGTGATTCGTATAAGGTGACCGATTTAATTATTAGCAAAATTTGAAGACGTATGAAAAAATAGTTTATGCCGATATGCTCAAAACAAAGGGGGACATTATATGATAGAAACAATTAGTTTACGGGTGAAGGCGTTGAGGACATTTTAAGATCAATTTCATTTTTTTAAATGGAACATAGCACTTTTTATTGCGTATTCGGATTACATATAAAAAAATAAGAAACTTTTGTTCCAAACTTTTTACCCTAAAATGAAAAAGAAAATGTTACATTAATTGTGCACAAGACAGAAGTTTATATTTGAAGTACCTGTCCAATTTGACGACCATTGTGTTATTATTTTTAACAATAGTGTTGCTATTTTCGGAGAATAACCATTTCGATAAACTCCTAAATGGTATCTCAATACATATTGCGAGAAGTAAAGAAATCAGAAAAGAAATTATCAATAACGGAATAGTATCCCATATGAATGAAGGAAATTATGAAAGAAATCTAGCGACTATTGTGAGATATTACTAATGTTTAGTGTACTTGCTGTTTCTAAAAGTAATAAACAAAAAATATTAATCTTTTATGCTTACTGTTTTCTCTATACTAAAAGTTCTAGCAGTCCTTATTTGTCCTATGTTAATTATAACAAATACTATATGCACGAGATAAACTCCGTAGCAAAAGTTTGCAAATGGCTGTGTCCAATGAGGATTTAAGAAATTATAGTAAAATTATAATAAAATTATAGTAAAATTCTATAGAAAGAAGCACAGAAAATATTAGCCTAAGGAAAAGTGATATATTTCTGGTGTACAAAGTCACGCTGTCTTTTTAATATGTGCACTCTTCAAAGCCTCTTTGAAGTAAGCTTTTATCTGAACAAAGATATTATAATTTGTATCATAGCAACCAGTCTCAAAAAGGACAATATTCGTTAAAGTTAATTGACACACGTTCTTAAGCCTTTTGTCATAGTATATAACTTAAACAATAATATAAATTGATATAACTTAAACAATAATATATTATATCGCAACATAAAATAATTGAACTATTTTACATGGTGTATATCGTACTTGGCTGACTACCCATGAATAATCAAACTATTATAGAACACAAACACAAAGCGACAATAAGCCTAAGAAAAAATGCAAAAATTGCTTCTTCCAACAGGTTTGTCTTGTCTATCATCAAAAATTTATGTGCCCAATATTGAATCGTAATATATAAAATCAAAGGAGTCGGGCAAACCAATATGTGCGACCAGTACTGAAAACGTAAAATAAGTTATATATATATATACATAAAATGTTTCTCAATTGGAGCCCATTCATATGGGATCCTGCTTTACTTATTTTTGCTTCGATATTTTTCTCATCTGCGCATTATATGAAAAAGATTCGGCACGCTGGTCTGTGCGTCAACTGGTCCCGCGCACTCACAATCTTTATTGAAAATGAGCAACAAAACGGCCGGAACCCTTATAGAAATATCATACTAAGAAATACTGAAAAATTATTAGTGATTAAATATTACCAGTAATTCAGTAATTTTTTGGCCAGTATTTAATTTCTGGTGAATACTGATAATAAAATCACTGTTAAATATTGATAGTAATCAAATACTGAGAATTATTATGCAAAGGTGAAAAATGAGAAAATCATAATGTTTACAAAAATATACTTACATTCCTAATTTTCTCATGTCTCATAAACTACTAGATATCGAAGGTTGTCAACAACACATTCCAAACTTTCATGAATCCTCCTGCGATAATTTCGATCCCAAGCGATATACCACCCTTATAGAAATATCATACTAAGAATCACTGATAATTACTTATTTACAGTATTAAAAATACTGAAAATAAGTAAAATATATATTTCGATTCAATATTGGGCACATAAATTTTTGATAATGAGACAAGACAAACCTGTTGGTAGAAGCAATTTTTGCATTTTTTCTTAGGCTTATTGTCGCATTGTGTTTGTGTTCTATAATAGTTTGATTATTCATAGGTAGTCAGCCAAGTACGATATACACCATGTAAAATAGTTCAATTATTTTATGTTGCGATATAATATATTATTGTTTAAGTTATATCAATTTATATTATTGTTTAAGTTATATACTATGAAAAAAGGCTTAGGAACGTGTGTCAATTAACTTTAACGAATATTGTCCTTTTTGAGACTGGTTGCTATGATACAAGTTGTAATATCTTTGTTCAGATAAAAGCTTACTTCAAAGAGGCTTTGAAGAGTGCACATATTAAAAAGACAGCGTGACTTTGTACACCAGAAATATATAAGGGCACTGGTACCATCCATGTCCTAACCGCATTAAACTGTTGCTTAACCTGACGATCGACGCGCACGCGGTGACTCTGATGACTCCAACGATGTTCTTACAATTCATGCTTATATAATGTATCCTTATATTGTTCACAGTATATTATAACATACCTAGCAAACACTAAATAATAGTTATATAATTTTTACTTGTTGTTTATTGGATAATTTGTTGATAGATATTGAAACAATATAACATTTGATATGCGATGAATATTGATGTAATGTAGTGAACCAGTGATAATTACTTTTACATTTTTAACAAAATGTTATAATGATTAATCCAACAAAAAAAAATTAAAAAATCCAAGAAAATCCAAATTAAACAAATCGAATTACTAAATTTTGAGAGAAAC